AATGGTGCAGAGGTGATGGTAGGGGTTGTAGAGTTCCCGTCGCTGCAGTTCGGTTGGCGTTCGCAGCCGCCCAGGGAGAAGAAACGGAGGAAGAACAACCTGGAGCACGTCAGGTAAAGCAGATTCTCATTATTGTTGACGTGAACCATTTCCATGCCTTTGCATGTGTTTGTGATGGTTGCCATGCGTGGCTAAGGATAGGCTCACCTTTCAGCTTAAACCTGGTATGGCCACAATTAGTGATTTATAGATGCATGTTTATGCCATAGTTGGAATCGTACAATGGAATCTGATTTCTAAGGTGATTTCGTGTTTTTTTGGAAAGCGTTTTGACTTTTTTATTTACAGATCTTCATTCTCATTTCTTCCAGATCCCCTACAATGGCTGGAGGCCTTTTCTCCATCACCAGGGAGTATTTTGATTATCTGGGAGGATTTGACCCTGGAATGAAAATCTGGGGCGGGGAAAACATCGAGATGTCATTCAAGGTGAGTTCATAGTGTTTGGGGGCGGTGGAGTAACCTTATGCTTAAAGCTTTCGCTCGTCGCGCCGAAGACCGGGTTCGATTCCCCACATGGTTACAATGTGTGAAGCCCATTTCCACCGCGCGCTGCGATATTGCTGGAATATTGCTAATAACGGCGTAAAACCAAACTCATTCACTCACTCATAACTAATTCCTGTTTAGTTTACTATAACGATACTTCCACTTATGTTCCACCAGATCTGGATGTGCGGTGGGCGAATTGAGACGCCCATCTGTTCACGTGTCGGTCACGTGTTTCACAGTCACAACAGCTACATGGGGATTCGACCAGGGTCGTACATCGCAAGTGCAGCTAACAACGCGCGTCTCGCTGAGGTGTGGATGGACGACTACAAGAAGTTCTACCAGGGCAGATTCTACGTGCGTATGATGATGATGATGCTACGGTGAAAATAGTGTCAGAATACGGGCCATTATCAACAACATGGGTACTACGGACAAACCAGGGCTCGAGCTTAGCATGTGTATGAAGTACACTATGTGAAGCACAAAATGTGAAATACAATACGTGAGGTACAATATCTGATTCACGGTATGTGACCACGAAATATGCTCCCCATCAAAAAGTTTAGACTCACTAGTGTAAATGTAGCCACTTACTTCAGTCAACTGTTCTGAGCTAAATTTTGTAAAATAATCCATACAGTTTAAAGGTACTGTTTATACATGAGCTGATGTATTGTAAAACAAATTCGTGACGTTGACAAGTTTATTGTCATGTGTTCAATAAATGATGACACTCGGTGAAAAATGGCGATTTTTTTCTTATCAAAACTTTACACCAAAACGCAGCTGTTCACATGCACGATATTTGCACATGCTTTTCAGAAATTTGATGCATGATCCTCGTGCAATTAATCTGCATAAGGTTTGCAGATGTTTCATCCAAATGTGATAAAATTCTCCCCACTGTTAAGTAGTAAAAATCCAGTTCTTCTACAAAATATTTCAATGTTCATTTACTATGCTATGATTACCCGATCTAAATTCCTCTCAAATGTAACATAACTTTATGTACTATAGGCCTGTGGCCTTCTCAGTGCAATTATAGATTATTTTTATTATTATTATTATTATTATTATTATTATTATTATTATTATTATATACAAGTTAAGTACAGCATGTAAGGTACATAATCTGATTCACGGTTTGTGACAAATAACGAAGTATAACACAAAAGTACAATATGTAAAGCACTGACTTGGCTGACACATGTCATCGTATCCCAATATTGCTGAGTACAGCCTAAAACAAAAACCAAACAAAACTTGACACAGTTGTTTCCGCCATTCGACATTCTCAGTCTGCATACAGACCACTGGCCCATGGTAAAATTTTGGTCAACATACATTATACATAAATATTCCAAAGTATACAAATGTCAAAATTAGAATATTGACAATTATCTTTCATTACTACTGCAAATAAGACCTTCTCAGGCCCATTGCATGGTATACATATATAGCGACATGTCGTAAAAGGCGAGGACATGCGCAGCCATTTCATGTACATGTAAATTTGGCACCACAGCCTCGCTCGATTAGCAGAGAGTTAGCAATTCGGATGACCTGATTCTCACGGTTTGTCTTTCATTCAATAACATGGCGTCGTCTCTACAGCAACCTGGAGATGTCTCTGAACGCCGCAAGTTGAGAGAACGACTCGGATGTAAGCCTTTCTCCTGGTACATCGAAAACGTTATGCCGGAAGTAGCCCTTCCGGGAACGGCCTTTACTCAGGGGAGGTAAGTCTGAACCTGAATAAAAACTAAAAACTGCATAAAAACGAAGAACCTGCACCTTCGATTTTGCGCATGCGCACATGGAAGAAGAAGTCTCGACCGCACGTTGACATTTTCCAGCTTGGACAAAAGTTACATTCCTTTTTAAGTATTTCTGTTGTGTTATTTGACATTTATCATCATGATACTTGTGTGAACATTTGTTTAGTTTACTTTCCATTCGTATGAAATGATTGACAGCAATTATTTCGACATATTTAATACTTTTTCTACGCGAGGCGATTCACGGTTGCTCGGAAATTGGAATGAAGCGCGGATCGTAATGCGCATGCGCAGTAGAGGTCAAAGTTCGCTGATGTAAAAATGTTGCAGTTTCATAGTTTTTCGTTGCCGTTTTTACTGTTTCAGTAGCGAGGTATTCTGCACAGTGGGAAAGTTTTCTTTGGTAGGCCTGACTAATAACACTAGATTTTGTTGTGTCAGGCTATCCTCATGTGTTTGAAATTACCGTATTTCCTCTAATAAGCGCCGAGTCTCCAGTAAGTGCCAAATGTTTACAATGGAGAATCTATGTTTATTTTCGTTGAAACTTTAAGCGCAACGGGTCTGCAATAAGCACCGGGCCTCTAATACGCGCCGGGTCTGGAAGTCCGTTGAAAAAATAAGCGCTCAGGTGCTTATTAGAGGAAATACAGTTGTTGCAATGCGAAATCCTCACAGTGAGTCGATATCCTATTCAAATGAAATTTATGCAAAACTGTTGTCAACAGAAATTCCATATTTCCTCAAGAACAGCTCCTTTTAAAACACTATTGTGCTTACAATTTTAAACTTAAAAAACTTGACGAGATTTGTTTGTTCCTTCAAAGTCAAACGGTAAAGTAAAAGAGCTGTAAGCATTGTTAATGTTGCAGTTACGCAACGAGGGCATCCCCAACATGTGTCTGGACATGATGTCCACTGTAGAGTGGAACCAACCCGCAATGTACGGATGTCACGGACAGGGGAAAGCCCAGGTGAGCTATGAACGATTGTTAGGTGAGCTACTACCTGGCATCTTCATCTACAAGTGGTTTGCAAGTTTATGGAGTGAGAACTAAAGATTTATAATATAATTTGTTTATTTGTTTAACGCCACATTCAGCAATATCCAAGCTTTATGACGGTGGTCTGTAAATAATCGAGTCTGGACCAAACAATCCTGTGATCTACGTAGTTGGGATACAATGACATGTGTCAATCAAGTCAGCGAGCCTGGCCACCCGATCCCATTAGTCGCCTCTTTCGACAAGCATAGGTTGCTGAAGACCAATATCTAACCCGGATTTTCACGGTAAGCTATAAATAGAGACAGATATATGTGTTATTGCTCTTTGAGCCTATAAGTGGATCAGGCAGTGGGGTAGCCCAGTGGTTAAAGCGTTGGTTCGTCACGCCGAAGACCCGGGTTCGAATCCCCACATGGGTACAATGTGTGAAGCCCATTGCTGGTGTCCCCCGCCGTGATGTTGCTGGAATATTGCTAAAAGCGGCGTAAAACCAAATTCAGTCAATCAGTATAAGTGGATCAGGAATTGGACACAGTACATAATAATGACCATAACTGTTAACATACCAACAGGACTATCTTTCTCATTTCAATTGTTTTGCAGATGTTTGATATGACAGATCTTGGGGGAAATAGTGGCCAATAACCGATGTTTAACCCACGCACGCGGAGGTGTGTACATTCAAAGATGCAACTGGTCGACCCGGGAACACGTATGGGAGTACAAGGTAGAACGATTTATCTCGTTATATAGCAACTTGTCTCTATAGTGAGTGAGTGAGTTTTATGCTGCTTTTAGCAATATTGCAGCAATATGAAGGGGGACACCAGAAATGGGTTTCACATATTGTACCCATGTGGGGAATCGAACCCGGGCTTTCGGCGTGACAAGCGAACACTTTAACCACTAGGCTACCCTACCGCCCCTCGGTATTATATTGTATGGTATACGAGTATTCATATGTAACAACCAGTCAGTCTGGTTGGCAACGCCTTCTGGGGCATTCCGATAGAGGAACACACATACATGTTGACTGGCCGTGATTGGTTCTTTATTTCAGAATAAGATAATAAGTAGGCGACAGAAAATTAGACTGAATTTGCATGTCCAGTTATGGGCAAGTTAATAACAAGAAATGCTTGAATGGCCAGATGTGTTCCTTTGTTCCAGGACGAGTTTCCCGTGAAGATCCGGGTTAGAAATGGTCTTCAGTAACCCATGCTGTCGCAAGTGGCGACTAATGGGATTGAGTGGTCAGGCTCGCTGACTTGGTTGACACATGTCATCGTATCACGAATGCGTAGACCGATGCTCATGTTGTTGATCACTGGATTGTTTGTCCAGACTCGATTATTTACATACCGGCGCCATATAGCTGTTACATTGCTGAATGCGACGTGAAAAAACCAAAAACAGCCAACCAAATCAACCATAATATTTTGTCATAAATGTCACTGTCCTCTTGTAAGTCTTTCCAGTATCGACAATTCGTTTAATATAGTTTCATATATATATGAGTGTGGCGTAAAACTAAACTCACTCACTCACTCCAGGACGAATTAATATGGTGACATCAAAAGGTCACCGACCGTTTGTTTCAACGTTCCAGTACAAGGTCATGAGGGGGCATTTTTACCAACCTATTTTTTGTGTGTTCCAGGACAAGTTAATAAAGAGACACGATAACTGTTTGACTTTGAACGCGACACTGCACGTGGTGATGGAGAAATGCTCCGGAAAGACGTCCCAGATGTGGACGTGGAATTATCACAGACCGCGGAGGAAGAATGTGCTGAGGATTGAAGAAATGTGAAAAATGATATCATTTTAAAATGTCATGGCGTTGAGTGCAGGGTTGTGGTTCTTTACCTGAAATATCAGATGGCCGTGAAACGAGTACATTTTAGGAAGAAAGCCAAGGTATCCCACTTCTTATCGGAAAAGGGGCGGCGGGGTAACCTAGTGGTTAAAGCTTTCGCCGGTCACGCCGAAGACCCAGGTTCGATTCCCCACATGGGTACAATGTGTTAAGACCATTTCTTGTGTCCTCCGTTGTGATATTGCTGGAATATTGCTGAAAGCGTCGTGAAACTAAACTCACTCTTACCGGAAAGATCAAGCTGACGGATTATCTCCCCTTTGTGTGAAACGATGTCCTCCCTGAAGTATTCCGATCAACCGGCATCACTTGTATCAGATTGACCTATCTCCTGTTCTAATGTGCAGTGTTAAACAAGCCGGGTGATCATTTATCAATTACCAGGCCTCATAGGGGCTGCATATATCACGTATAAACCGTTGGTGCAGCCGAGACTATAGAATCAGATATTTATAGACTAATTGCAATTATTTTTCCACCGTGCAGTGAATTCAAGGAGGCGGTGTAAGTGAATTTAGGCTGGCAGTATGTAACGGGACTCGAGAGTCATAACAAATGGTCATGAAGTAACACATGTGACCTGGGACAACATGAAACCTCACGCCCCTTGAAGAGCTAGGACGAACGTCGGTTTGAAAGAGGTTGGGATAGAGAACGGCAGGTTGAAAGAGGCAGCGGCACAGAACGTCGGTTTGAAAGAGGTTGGGATACAGGTTGAAAGAGGTGGCGACAAATATTGCTCAGCGGATGAGTATTCTTCCTCAGTGTGTCCGGTACAATTTCATTGTCCAGGTTATTGGTAATATATAACTTGAACAATAGGTACACAGATGTATTACTGACTCTGTAACATATTGACATGCCTATGGGTATATAATTCCTAGAAAAGGTCATCGCATTGTCATTGTCTTCTTATAATAAAGGAACAGTGAAATGGCGACAAATTCTGAAGTGGTTATTTACTGATTTCACAATGTAGTTATGTTCGCAGCGAGTTTGGGGTTAACTTTGTGTTTCTATCTCACACGCTATGAAAATACACCAATACAACAATGTTTGTTTGTCGGTAGTAGTTCAGTTACATGACGATGGACTGGATTGCATGTCATCATGACCCTATTGTGTAGTTGATGTTCAAGATGTCAATCACTGGGTTGTCTGGTCCAGATGGAAAAATGCAACCACAACCCTTACCACAGAGATCAATACATTACCGATTTCGGGGCGGTGGGGTAGCCTAGTGGTCAAGGCGTTCGCTCGTCACGCCAAAGACCCGGGTTTCGATTCCCCACGTGGGTACAATGTGTTAAGCCCATTTCTGGTGTCCCCCGCCGTGATACTGCTGGAATACTGCTAAAAGCGGCGTAAAACCAAACTCACTCACTCATTACCGATGTCAATGATCCCGGAAAAAACACGTTTTGAAACAGCCTAAAGTCAAAACGCTTAATCATATAAGATGTGACGTTTTCATTTCTGCAGATGTTCACATTGAAGTCAGTTAGCTGCGTTTTAAGACTGACTAATAGTAAGTACAACATGATCCGATATCACAAATCCCGGGACATAACACAGGGCTCTTATTAATATACATTGACCTTAAGTGCACAAAGAACGCGTCGAAGAAGAAATATTTTCATAAATGAATTAAGTATGTCATGTTGATTGTCAGAATTCTTGTAAACACCAGGCAAGCGCTTGACAAGAATCGATTTCCGTCCATATCCGTTGTGTGAATATTTGATCAAATATTCTAGATAAATTCGCTCTCATGGAACAGATGTCTAATAACTTCAAGGCCACGTGTTGGTTGAATACACAATGCCATTTATACGTGGTTTATACTACGTTGCTGAAGTTGCCAAAGTTCATTACAGAGAGTGAGTGAGTGAGTTTAGTTTTTTGATCACGCCGCACTCAGCAATATTCCAGCTATATGGCGGCGGTCTGTAAATAATCGAGTCTGGACCAGACAATCCAGTGATCAACAGCATGAACATCGATCTGCACAACTGGGAACCGATGACTTGTGTCAACCAAGTCAAAGAGCCTGACCACCCGATCCCGTTAGTCGCTTCTTACGACAAGCATGGGTTACTGAAGATCAATATTCTTACCCGGACCTTCACGGGTGTCATTACAGAGAACCCATCACCCGGAATAAAACACTCAAATAGGTGCCCGACTTGTTGTAGCATCAATAACTAATGATAGCACTAAGTCAACACATTTGTCTTATTATTCATAGGACCGCCTCCGTGGTGTAGTGGTTAGAGCGTCCGCCAAGAGAGCGGAAGGTCGCGGGTTCGATCCCCGACCGCGTCATACCAAAAGACGTTAAAATATGGTACTTGTTGGTCCCTGCCTGTCGCTCGGCATTAATGGGTACAACAAGGGCTGGTCGGCTCGGAGTCAGTATAATGTGTCTGAGTGGGGTATTAATGCTTCACTGCGGCATGGTATCTCAGTGGGCTAGCACTATAAAACCAGCTTAAGTCTGGGCTAGTACAAGCAGCCGCACATACACATACACGCGCATGCACGTCGTCATATGAGCGAAATACTAGTACTAGTATTCTCAAGCAAGACGTTAAACCCAATTTCACCTCACCTCACCTATTATTCATAAACATAATGGGCTCAGTTCCACATTATACTGAGAATGAAATTGGCATGGTGCTGACAATGGAGTGAGTGAGTATGGTTTTGCGCTGCTTTTAGCAATATTTCAGCAATATAAGGTCGGGGAACACCATAAATGGTCATCACACATTGTCCTCATGTTGGGAATCGAACCCGGGCCTTCGGCGTGAGGAGCGACCGCGTTAACCACTAGGCTACACAATCGCTCCGCACACATTATACTGAGTGATATCTGATCTACTGTTAGATTGCCTTAAGTTTTTATCGCCTAATTCACAAAATTAACCATTATATTTTCAAAAATAAAAACAAATTTAGAAGTCAGTCTGGCACAGACTTTACTGAAGTCAGTTTAAATGACAAAGGTGATCCGTTTATTACGCCATTAGCAATGGATTGCGTCATATCATGGTGTTCTCTGCAACCATGCATGAGTGCATATATTAATGTCGAAATATTCTAATAAACGTCTGGAAATGTATCTTTTATGCCAAATAACATGCTCAGCTAATCGGGATCTGACAAAGCTGAAATTGTAATGTCAACGGCCTTTTCTATGTGCGTGTGTCGATTAGTATAACTTCATAACTTTCTTTTTTCAGCTTCAGTTTTATATATGCTTGAACTGTGTGTTTCGGCAGAGAAAACACACGGGGCTTCAAATATGCTCAGGCATACACACACATTATTTAAACGATTGAACTGCATAGATCTCCCTCAACGTGTGGGAGAATTAATAGAGCAGATTTACAAGGTGTCCCAATGAAGATTATTTTTAAGAATCCCTAAATATTGTAAAAAGCGGGATATTTTAGCAATATTCCAGCAATATCACGAAGGACACCAGAAATGGGCTGCACACATTCTAACCACGTAGGGAATCGAACAGTCTTTCGATGTGACGAGGTATACACTCTCGGGTCTGTAGTGAGTGAGTTTACGCCGCGCTTTTAGCAATATTCCAGCAACATCACGGCGGGGGACACCAGAAATGGGCTTCACACATTGTGCCCATGTGGGGAATCGAACCCGGGTCTCCAGCGTGACGAGAACGCTTTAACCATTAGGCTTACCCATTGGGGGTCGGTAACAGAACCTTAACTACCGCCAAAATAAGGTCTTTGAATGAACGGTGACTGTGACTGACTGAGTGTGGTTTTACGCCGCTTTTAAATATTCCAGCAACATAACTACAGATTTGTGGGGAATCGAACCAACGAGCCAACGCTCGTTCCCTGGTGAACGCTTATGATACCGCGGCCATGCATTTGTGCGCAGCATCTAATCGTAATGAAACTTCACACCACGCACAAACGGGGACGTGCACGGAAAAACATGATGTAGAAAATTGACATGCACAATTAGTGTCACTCAGTGTCAAACACTTACCTTCCTAATATATCGCAATATGTACCAGGGGCGGATACAGCTAAATCGCAATATATTGCAATGCAATGTATTTGCCGCTTATGTGTTTGCCAATACACAGCACAGGCCCTCGTGTCTTTGCGAGGATTAAAGATTTTATAAAATATATTAAAAAAATTGAGATGACCCCCGACTCGAAATGCTTCACAGTATAATACATAATGACAAGGCCGGACACTTCGGTGCACCCCACCCGACTGCTTTGCCGATCGCTACGCTGCCATCGCATGCAATCGATTAAAACTTAATGTAAACATGATCATGGATGATTGGCCTATCGAGCACCACTCATGACACCTACCAATTCTTTATTGTTATTTCTGCAAGTCGATTGAAACCCGATTTTGACTCTCAACTAAACTATCTTTGCACAAATGGCTGACGATATATCCGCACAAACCGGGTGTGGTCGAAGCAAGCCCTCTGGTCACTATACCTAAATACTAATGGTATAGTGAGTGAGTTTAATTTTACGCCGCATTCAGCAATGTTCCAGCTATATGGCGGCGGTCTGTAAATGATCGAGTCTGGACCAGACAATCCAGTGATCAACAGCATGAACATCGATCTGCGCAATTGGGAACCGATGACATTTGTCAACCAAGTCAGCGAGCCTGACCACCCGATCCCGTTAGTCGCCTCTTACGACAAGCATAGTCGCCTTTTGTGGCAAGCATGTATCGCACTTAGAGAAATAGGTTGTTACTCTATGTGGATGTCTTGTCATGAACAACTCATGGTATAGAATAGGATGTTTGAAGTACTCATGTGGGCATGTAATAAATATATGAAACAAAATTCTGTCAGATGTCCAACTACTCGGTATATACATGACGTACAATATTTCATGTTTGATATATACAACACCATGTTTAATTATGTACATTTGGGCATCATTTACTCATATGGTGATTCCGCATTAGCTTTTGGTGCAGGTTTCTGTTTGTTTTCTAAATCATATCAAATATCAGTTAGCCGCTCTAGCCTGACAGTGAGTGGTTGACAATTTGTTAAATGTCCCTGCCGATCAACCGGAGAAAGGAAGTACCCTTAGAGAGGATAAAGTGGTTGGTTTTACATTAATTATACTTCCTTTGGCGCTTTGAGCAGCCATTCTCGTAAAGATCATTAGTAGTAGCAGTAGTAGTAGTTGTTGTTGTTGTTGTTGTTAATGTTGTAGAAATAGTACCAGAGGGGGGGGGGGGGGTGTCAGGGGTGCGCGTCCCCCTTTTGTCCTGAAAGTTTATTATATGACAGTAAAGGACCATTGAAACTCTCGCGAAAACGGGTGGAAATGAAGTGTGCACCCCCTTCCCCGCCCTGCCAGTAGTAGTAGTAGTAGTAGTAGTAGTAGTAGTAGTAGTAGTAGTAGTTATTCAACATAAACCAATGAAACCTGCTCTCGCTTTTAGATTTCACCTTCATATTTTATATTTTAGCATTTCAATTCATGTTTTCATTTTGTTATTGATATAAAAGCAAAAATAATGAAATAGTGACAACAATATTTTTAGTTTCTTAGGTCGACAAGATATCCGAATTTGCTTTGTTAACTTGCACCAGAGACCCATATGAACTGAGCTGGCACTTAGTTGTTAGATTTTACAAGCGCCTCTTTGCATAAAGATTACTTCCCTTTACACATCCTTCGAACCAATAGCGGCCTTTCTTTCTACACCGTAGAGTTTTGAAACAGACGCTGTTATTGGTTCATTTTAGTATCAAGGTTCACAGACATGGCCGAAGACGAGAAAACACCTCTGCGTCAACAATTTAACCCGTGGTCATGACAGAACGAATACTCTGTTATTCCAACGCGTTGATGTAGCAGACACAAAGGTAATACATCAATCGTATGTTTCAAAATGAAAATAACAGTATCACAAGGCTGACGTAGCCAAAGACTTGTTGACAGTATCGACAGGTTGGAAGAAGTAGGCAGTGCCTCTCGATCCTGCCACTTGTGATGTGAGGTAAATTTTGACAGTTCGTTTAGGGGGTGTGTATGCTTAAGTCTGCCGTGTGCTTACTTATCGTAATTTGTTTCGAGTTATTCCAACTAGATGACGCCACAGTGTAAGGTTTATCAGGTTCATTCATATCTGTCCTGGCAGATCGACATTTATGACTAATGTCACGGCCATAATTAAATAAAATCTAAGAGATCTTGTCAGATTGTTTCAGTTGATTGCCGTCAGTTTCAATAATGACGAAACTTCAGTTTTGCATTTCAAAACAGGTATGACCTTGTGAACTAGATACAAAACCAGATGACAAGTTACCATAATGTACACTGTTTCAGGTAGAGATAAAAAGTTAGATTTTTAAGATTGAAATAGTATTTGGCCTTTGCCATTCTCACAGACTTGTACATGTTTTCATCTACCTACAGACTTTATACCTCTGAAGTATTTGTTGTGGAAGTCTAGTGGTTAAAGTGTTCATGCGTCACGAGGAAGACAGGGTTTGATTCCCACATGGGTACAATTTGTGAAGCCCATTTCTGGTGTCCGCCGCCATGGTAATTGGTATTCCTGGAATATTGCTAAAATCGGCATAAAACCATGCTCACTCACTGTTGTTTAAAGACCATTCAGATACAAATCACAAACTCACCTGTCCATGTCATTGTATTGAGAACATTAAACATGTTAAACATGTTGATGACAATGGCATCAATCTTCAGACAACCCCCTTTGGATAACACTTCCCTTGGCAGTAGTGGGGAGGTAACTCAGTGTTATAGTATAAAGTATATTGTGCACATTCTTATATATTGTCATAGAGGGTAAGATAAGGATAGTCGTACAACTTAAAGGAAATGGTACAACTATGTATAGAGTAAGTTACAAACGTAAAATCTGTAAATATAATCAGATAAGCATGGTAAGAATACCACGCCCCCTTCCTTAAAGCAATCTTAGCACTAAGGTGATCGTAAGCCTGTGACAAAGTATAGGGGATAAGGTCACCCCAGCACAAAGATCACTTTGTCGAACAGGTCGCTTGGAAATATAGAATCTGATGTTTCATACCTAGTCTCAGGTACTGAAGAGAAAAGTTTATTTTCCTGCAGTAAATCACTGAGCATGATTAGTTATGTTGTGGTAAGTGATATATAAGCAGTGTTAAAGTAAATAGTGTCTGACCCTCTGACAAATCCGGCATAGCGGTCCGATAGAAGTTACAACCCAAGGCCCCAGTGTCCGACTGTATATTTTGCAATGACTTTGACTGAAGTTGTTATATTTGACATGTGACACTTGTTTGCTGTTTATTTCCATCTTAATTTTTCTTATGTTTGTAAATAATTTCAATGCCAATTATAAGAAATGGTAAATCTGAAATGTGTGTTTAATTTTATTCCATGGGTCCTGTGAATTTTCAAAGGGTCAGACAGACATCTTAAACTTACAGGACCCAATGTCCTGTTACTTTGAAACACCATTAAGTGAACACTGCATAAGTTCTGTGAAAGTGACATATAAGTGTTGCAGAAGGGTTATGAAAGTGTTGCTGAAGTAATACATAAGCATACATAAGAGTTGTGTGATTACTTAATGTTGTGAAAAGGCAGTATCTATTCTCATTATCATTATTGTACTTTGATATGATGCGTAACACTAAATATTTTCTTTTGCCTGGAGATAGGGACAGGTGGCATGCATAAATACATTGATTGCCAGTAGGGCTGGGTATTGCAGAGAATTTTCATATTGCAATATATTGCGATGCGAAAGCCTATATTGCGATATGTATTGCAATATATTGCAAGAAGTTCTTTTTTAACAAAAACTACTTATAATCGAGTTATTGCTTGATTTATAAAGCAAAAACACAACAAAATCACCATGCTTGATTAAAAGCTTTATTAAAACTTTTAATCATGACAAAATAAAATGTAAATAGTATTTGGCACAAATAGAAAAAGGAAAGGAACAATTTATAAAACGGAAATATCCGAAGATTTCCGAGTGTTACGAAGTCTTTTCGAATGCATGTCAAAATACCGGTTTTCAATCAGCGTATTGCAATATGTATTGTTTTCATGTCTGAACCGGTATATAACGGTAAACCGGTTATATTACGGAGCCCTAATTGCCAGGCTTATTAACCATTGTAATGGGAATGACAAGTCTTTATGGATGATCAACTTTATGGCAACGTTTCGGTATAGATACTTATGCCGTTTTTAAGCATGAATCATGCTTGAAAACAGTGTAAGTATCTATACTGGAATGTCACTATTGTACAATAAAGAAGTTGATCATCCATAAACACTTGTCATTCCTATTACTTATAACTTCTAGAATGCCTGTTAAACAAACCGTAGTAATGGTGGTAAAAGTGTAAAACAGGAAACTGAGCTGATTCAATTTTTCTCAAATCTGTAGCCGGTGAGAAAGTAATACAGCTGGTATCAACAGGATCAGTGCCCCTGTCCATTTGGGACAGGGCAATCAAGCTACATAAAATGGAACCCCACTTTTCTGGACACCTACCAAACAATATTTACATGAAGCAAAATATATGCTACACAGGAAAGAATTCTAACCGTTCCTGCAACTCTTTGCTGGGTAAGAGTCAGGGTTGGTTTGCCTAAGTATAACCTAACCTTGATTTAAGTCATAGAAAATTCTCTTTCGTATAGCTTCTAGTTTTTGATAAATAAGAATGACTTAAAATTATAACTTAACTGGCTTGAAGGATCAGAAGTTTTACTGCCAAGCAAAATGCTTCATTTACATTGTTTCTGAATCTGGACTGTTAATTCAGTTACGAACAGTGCCAAATATTGTGACCCACTTACCAGACGACGATCATGTCTGACGATGTTTGTTTTGCAATTCATCACAGAGCATCAAAAGATGGTTGGTTTGGTTTGTTGCTTAATGCCGCACTCAGCAATATTCCAGCTATATAACGGCGGTCTGTAAATAGTCAAGTCTGGACCAGACAATCCAGTTGTCATAAGCATCGATCTACGCAATTGGGATACAATGACGTGTCAACCAAGTTAGTTAGCCTAACCACCCGATCCGTTAATGCACCGCTTACTGAAGACCAATTCTAACCCAAATCTTCATAGGTCTATCAATTGCGGTTATTAAATGCTGTTATTACTATAAAAAGTACTCGTATTGAAGCAATGTTAATAATATCAAATGTTTAGTTTTTCTTCTAACCAATTTATTCAGCAGTCCCTCCTGGATTCCGTGATTCTGCGGTTGAAGAATAAATAGCGGAAATGACCTTTTCATGCAGAAAAATGCCTGGTCCGCGGAAAACGCATTTTCATGCAGAATACCTGTAGAATTTGCCATTATTCTGCCGCAGAATTTACATATTTTGAAAGCTGAATCAAGAATGACATCAACTGAAACGAAAAGTAGGAGTAAATGTCAAAAGTATGATTGGTTACACAAAAATGAACTGAGACATTTGTTATAACGATATTTTCAAAATATTCACAATTAAGGTGGATTTATTCATTAAGTAATATTACGTCAGCACCTTACAATAATATTATTTGAATTTGACACACCATTATGTTCACAAAATCGATCTTTTTGAAGATCAAAATGGCATTATTTTGTGTGGGGTTTTTAACCTTTTTTAAACTAAGCTTTTAACTGCAGAATTTTGAAAAATGTGATGCAGAATTAACTTAAATTTGCTGCGGAATTAGTCGCAGAGTCCAGGAGGGACTGCATAAATCAATTTTTAAACATTACAGGGCTCGATTTAGTGCTTCGTTACTTGCACTGGTGCAACCCAATATTACAAAATGCAACCTAGTTATTAGGCTAACTTGCACCAGGTGCAAATCAATTTTTGAGTGGGTAAACTTCTGAAATTTTTTTCTAAATAATTCAATAGCTTATTTCTTCATTACATGTTGCAATAAATGCAGTGCAACTGGAATTTGGCGGGTGCAACTAGGTTTTTATCTTAGGTTGCACCTGGTGTAAGTGGGTTAACATCTCTTAAATCTAGCTCTGCATTACGAGTGATCGTATGAACTCACTGTTACTTCTATCAACCATTGAATGTGTGTACAACTTAAGGCTGTGCAATATAACCGGTTTACCGGTATTTACCGGTTCAGTCATGAAAACGATACGTACTGCGATACGTTGATTGAAAACCGGTATTTTGACATGCATTAGGAAAACTTTGTAACACTCGGAAATCTTCGGATATTTCCGTTTTTAACACCGGAAGTCATGTGATTGTTGTAAAATGGTGACACCCAACAACGGACAAATACTAGGACAAAGGTTTAAGCATGGCAGCATTTTGGGTTGAAAAAGTTCACGGTTTTTATTTTGTCTTGATTAAAAGTTGTTATTAAAGCTTAATCAAGCAATTTGAATTTGTTGTGTTTTTGCTTTATAATAAAGCATTAACTCGATTATGAGTCATTTTTGGTTAAAAGAAACTTCATGCAATATATTGCAATACATATCGCAATGTATTACTTCGCATCGCAATAGATCGCAATATGAAAATTCTCTGCAATACTCACCCCTAGTACAACTGATGGCTATTTCTAGCCAAGTTCACAAGAAAATACATATAGTAAACAATACCTAGCGGAACTAAAATATAATTTAAATGGTAAATCATTCCTTCAAAAACCACCTCTTGTCATGTTTTTATCGCCAATTTGACATTTTAATTAACCATGTTGGTTACCAGCTGTTCATTCACCTGAATTCACTCAAGGGATACAATGTAGTATTTGAATGCGCATAATAGTATACTGAAATAATCGTATGCATTATGTTGTTATTGTCTTTTCACCTCCTTACAATAGGTACTGGAGGTCACTGACA